TTGATTAAATAGTGCACCCGTGCATGTTGCTAGTATAAGCAGAGTTTACAACAAAATACTTTGCGGTACTGGTTTACTTTAGACGCAGAAGAGAGGAGGAAAGAAAAAATATATTGATTAAAAAAAATCAATCAACAAAATGAACAGAGTACTACCCAAAAAGATTTTAAAAAAAGCATACAATGGGCGTGACCAGTGGTCGAAAGTTCTAAATAGATGCTTTTTGCTTGATCTGTTCGATTTTCGAGCCACTCTGTAGCCATCAAATATCGAGCACTCGAAAAGTTCGTCCCATCGGATACTGATTTTGCGAGTTCTCAGACATATTTCGATCACTTAAAACCCATTGAAATTTCGACTACTCAAAGAGGACAAACCTACCGAGAAGATACTTCTGACTGTTCGATGTAATTTCGAGCGCTTAAAACTCATTGGAGTTTCGTGTGCTCGCCTAGAGATGGAATATCTTCATTTCTATAGACTCGTCAGAGATTCAGAGCGACACCTCGAAATATCCATCGGCTGACATCTTGAATGTATAGATGACTATACCAGATGACCGTAATATATAGTTTCATTTCTATATTACGAGTAACGACACCGGAGTATAACACCCTTTCATAGATTGGAAAAAAAGTCTGATCAACCAAAAATATATGATTGACTCACGATAACCCGAAAAATAATATGAATCTTATTTACTATCATTATACAATAAAGTATGTATTATTGGTTTCTTTCATTTAGATTACTTTTATTTATAGCCTTCGCTCAAAATCAGCTTGAATACCTTGTATGTGGTTTTCTCTTGAGATTTCTCTTCAAATGAATAATGTTCAGAGATTTTTATAGATGTTTCTTTGATTTTCGTATTTCAGAATGCATGTTCAAACTAATGCTCAGCTGGTGATGATAGATATTTATAGTAGATGTTGTGTGATTAGGAGTGTTTAGAGTGAGTATCACCATACCCACATCTTCTATATGGGACTAGAGAATCCACGTAAAATAGACTTCCTATTGGAAACTTGACCACTCGTAATATGAAGGCGTAGGATCGGTTTATAAGTTCATAAGTTTGTTTATTGAAAATATATCTTTATAGATACATATATATATCTAATGAGGTAACAATGGTGATAACTAGAACAAGACCACTCAGTACAGAAGCGAAGACAACAAAAATAACACTGACGAAAAAGTGGAAAAAAATCTGTATATGTACATTAGAAAGAATGATAATTATAGACCACATGAAAGAGACAGACAAAGACTAATGAACAAAGAACAATTTACTTGAACATTAGTGACGACATGGTGTCTTCTGTTGACGTTAACAATAGAGCAGAGATGTACACCGCTCGCACCTCAATGTTGAGTATGTCTCAATTTTGATCGATCATACCGTCTAGAAAGCTTATTGTAGGTGGTGACAGTGTACTCGTTCTATGTCCTTTTGTCTAATAATATGTCTGCCGGCTGCACGCGTCTTCAGCATATTAATTGTGAGGATGTAGGCCTGGATGTATTTGAATGCGACGGAAATGTCTATGGTGGCGTTTCCAGCGCCGTGACGGAGTCAACGATGTTGGCTTGTTTCGGAGATACAATTGTGATAATCCCTGGTAATCGTTTTTCGACCTCGAACGCGTTCCTGAGCGACTGTGACTTGTACAACTTGACGCGTTGAAACGCATTGAGAATGCAACATTTTCGGGTCTCTGAACGTGTTTACAGTAGACAAACGCGTCTTCCCTCGCTCCAATGCTAACAGTATCATAACTTGTTTATGTTAAAAGATGCGTTTGAATGCGCCCAAGATGCAACAATTTCAGGCGTGTGAATGCATTCAAAAAGTAAAACGTGTGCAAAGTCGTCTGTCTTGCAAACAGATTATGACGCGTTTTCGGATTTTGCTGCGTCTGGATGCAGTAGGAGATGAACGCATCGTGACGTGTTTATTTTTCGCTCCCAAAAAATTAAACAATAACTATCATTCTGTGTCAGAATCGAACCAACGCACCATAGCGATCTATGATATAACACTCAAATCCTATGAACAATAGAGTAGTCATTTTTCTAATCACAGATTGAACGAAGATTTGAACACACCACCAGTCGATTATGAACCGAACACAACTAGCTCTGAACTAAACACAACTCGAACTTGTTTCTATTTTTATTAATCGCATCATTAGTTCGTATAATACTAGTTGCAATGTTAGGAATAGAGCTGTTATATTTTTACTTTGTGAAATAAATATAAATAATGTATTTATCGAAAAAATCAAGATAAATATATTCTTGATATTTAGAAAATAATTTAAATAAACAAATAAATTTTTTATATTAAAATAAATAAAAATTACAGAATAAAAAAAATTTCCCTCTGTGATGAAGAAATATTTAATTATGTGGTATAAAGGCATTAATTTAGATTTTTTTCTAAATACTAGCATCTCAATATCCAATATTAATAAAAAGTGAAGACGCTAGAAGAAAAAATATATGCAAATATTCTTGTCTATATAATTTTTTGTGATTATAAAATCGAAATTTTTTTAGGCATCTGGAAGAAAATAAAACATTAGGTTTTTGTTTAAAAATAAATCGTCATTTTCATTTAGCTTTCTTTATTCTTGTGAATAAAATATTCATTTATCTTTTTCTTGAAAGCATAAATTTTAAAAAATTATTTATCTTTATGTTTGTAACTAGTAAAATTCTGTAATGTATTTATCTTTATTGCATCAATCTAAGTTTCATTTCGAGTGATTTTATTATAGAGCATAATAAAGATAAGCCAACAACTCTATTTGAAAAAGTGCTCGTAAAATTCCGATAAAATGAAATAGTTGGCAATAAAAGTATCATATTCAAAGGATTTATTTGTTTGTCTAGAAAATAAATGATGAAGTGAGCAACAACTTTAAGATTGTAATCTACCGTCTGACTATTCGTAAGTATTTTAGAAGTAATGTAGAGCGAGACATATAATTTCAATAAAAATTAGATATTTTTAATAAAAAATCTGCAGATAATAATCTATTGTCATAGGCGCACTGATTCATATAATTAATCTATTAAATCAAGCCCAATTTAATTATATTTTAATAATAGTGATGCAGTCTGAATGGTAAACTCCAGTTTGGTTCCGACACAAAGTAATGACTATTTTCTGACTTTTTTTCAGAATAAAGTAAACGCGTTTATCTCATAACAGTATCGTAAGATAGAAAAGCCAGAAAACGTACATTAATGCGTTTTCAACAGGGACAAGCTTACACGCATTTTGGTTTTCGAACGCGTTCACACGCCTTAAAATGTTGCATGTTGAACACGTTCAAGCGCGTCAAGTTGCATAGCTTGTAGACATTCAGGAGCGCTTTAGGAGTTTAAGCATGAATACATAGGTGGTAAAAAAGAATATCATTGAGTTATTCTAATTTCAATAAAATTAGGTTGGTTTTCGTATAGCATCTACTAATCAGATCCTTATTGTAAACTTAGATCAGTTTGTTTGATTCTGAACAGCTGCACACAAAAATAACGAAATTAAGATAATCATTATCGATTAAAAACTTAAAGAGATATTTGTGAAAAATTATCCTGCTTAAAATATGTATCATAAAGAACTATCTATAGAAATATGCTTCGGCTTCTTATTCTTGTTCAAATGAGTTAAGAGAAGCTGAGATGTTTATTCAAATGAATTAGAAAAATCAATTTTTTCTTTCAGCTACTACCTTCTAAACCTAATATAATTACACAATAGAATTTTCTCGAATCACAATACCAGTACAACAAAGATGTAGCACGGCAAACTCATGGACCCATTTTCGCACAGACACAACTTCCCTTCTTAAAGTATTTATCCTCACTAACTAAATTATATAATCATATGTCCAACTACATTTCAAAAAGCAATAGGTCCAAATGCGTTTCCGCAAATTCGACAGATTGACAGAAGCATCCAGTGAAACGCATTTTATCGAGTCTGCCAATTAAATAGCGTTAGTGGAAGAGACATAGCTTCTTTCCACTATTAAACGTGATCAGATGCATAGAATGATATGAGTACGTCTCAACACATTTCATAATAAAAGGTTAATCACGTTTGTATGCGTTCAGTTTAAAAATATGCTCCGAAACTATGAATTTTCTTTGAGTGTCCTCGTAAAACACAGTAATTGGTGCATTTAGATGCGTTTCCGTCATGCTTGCCTATAAAAATGCGTTTCATGGTTACATGGGTACCTCCTCAAAAATTTATTAATTCTTTCAAATAAGCTAAAAAAATCGATCATGCAAATCTCTTCTATTTACATCACGAAACAGTTAAATGTTAGTTCGAACTATTTCAAATGATACTTAGATACTTGTATTCTACAAATAAAATGAAAAAAATGATAAAACAACCATTGGTTCTAATGCAAGCGATATCCTTTGAAAGGTATCATTTTTGATGCATTGAAAGACAAATTTTTGCGTTAGTAATCTTTTCTATTTTCGTATACATGATAAAATATAAGCAAACACAACACAGTAACAAACGCAGATTATCTTCATTTTTTCATTCTTTTTTGTTGGCTCATTAAACTATTAAAGCAGTGACATTAGCAGAGTAAAAGACAAAAATGCGAAATATGATTTCATGTGCATATTTTGTAGTGTAGCTTATCCGATGAAGCCGGCTGTGTTAACAATACAACATAAGATGTGCAGAATGAAAATTAAATTTTAATGTTCTTTTCTTTCTTTCAACATGTTTATTATCAACTCAATATTTGATGACATTCAGTAATGATATAAAGCTCTATATATAACCTTGAAAGAAAAGAGCATAGATAAATCACATATATTCTTGCCATTTAGTTCTTTGCTTGCGAAGCTTAGCTTTCAATTGAAAGAAAAAAACAATCGTTTGTTGGTTAAGTATTTTATTATATCTTGTGTTTTAACATACACACATAATTCATTTTAAAGAATATCAATTCGTAATGACTTCGTCAAATAATGAAAACCTGAGACATTTAGCTGATACTGTTGATCAACTTGCTGTACGATTATCATCTATTCAACCTTCTTGTCTTGAACAACTCGAACAATGGCGTGAGGCAGCTTATCGATCTATTGATCAATATTGTGAACGTAAACGTCATGAATTAATTGAAATGAAACAAGTTCATTACAGACAAGAACTTAATCAACTTCAACAAAAAGTAAATCAATTAATTGCAAATCATGATGATAGACAAGATCATTATGATTCAGTAAATCATGATATTCAATTGGTGGAAGTTAAAATAAATGAACTTGAACATCTTCGATTAAAAGTTCATCCACTATCCATTGACGAACATCTTATTACTCGACGACATCTATTCCCATTGACTCATCCATATCGAATGATACATTTAAAAACTAGTTTAGAAAGTGCTGTTGGTACTAATGATAAACATCTTCTTGTCGATCGAGAAGGTAAACATTTATGTTTGCTTGATCGAAATTTAGTTATTGTCAACGAAATTTCATTTACTCATGATGGGATTCATAGTGTTTTTTGGGCATCAACAATTGGTCAATTTATTATTGTTACTTGTAAAAATATTTTATTACTTGATGAGAAAACAATGACACTCGAGAAATGTCCTATTTCATCTAAAGTGGATTGGTGGCGTGGGACCTGTTCCGAAGACACTTTATTTTTATTGACAATTGAATGGGGTTCATCAATTTACGAATTTAATCTTGGATCATCATTTAAAGCTGGCAAGGAATGGCATTCACCTGTTACTTGTAAAAAAAACGAAGTTATGGGTGATATTAAATACAATAGTGGTTTTCTTGCTATTCCAATTTTTAACAGACATAGAGACGAAAGTCGTTTTGAACTACGTTCAGTAATAAATCTTGACTGTATCTGGTCAATTCGTGTTCATGGACGTTGTCGTTGTTGTCAAATTGATGTAGATCAATGGTTAGTAATGGATCATGATGATTGTCGATTCTTTCATATTTCAGCTGATGGAAAACTTTTAGAAGCAGGCAAGTACGATCAACATGAACAACTCGAAGATATTATACCATGGGGCAAAGATAGTATTGTTGTTTTAACCAAGAAAAGTATTAACTTGCATAACTTTAGCTAAAACAAATTGGAACAAACAAACCTTCTAAACAACAAGACTATATTTTTTTTTTAAATATACTTTTGAAAATAAATTGAAATCATAAATCTTCTGTTATAGAACGTTACAAATATATTGTTTTCATCGTGTTTTTGATAATGAGCAGTATTAACCTTTTGAGTGCCGGCGACGCGAATTCGCGTCCTGATAGTTTAGGATCTGAATAACTTTAGAAAACATGATCGTTTGATTATTTTATGATATGAATTACATGAATATTTGCGTTTAGGATATTTGTACGGTTAAGACTATCTGTACCTAGTGATGAATATTGGTTGTTCCCTAATATTTCTATCGACCACTATGTGATTCAATAAATTAGAACATAAGTCATTGGACAACATTTCCCAAGAAAGAATAATCGTTATCAACAGGATTTTTCATATTAACACATTCATTCAAGAGTGTTATCTATAGTAAAGGTTCTGATCAATTGATCACATTTTATAACATTCTCCTTCGCGCATTGAATCAACAGAGACTCAACTAAATCCAAGAAGAAAATGTTACGTTTGTGCCAATACTGTGAAAAGTGTCAGATCACGAGGAGATACTTCGTATGAACGCATTGAATGTGATATAGGATTGTGTCTTATGGATTGTTTTAAAGACTATCACACTCTAAAAGCATTTTAATTCATGTACTTTGTGATATTTTTTGCGAAATAAACGTTAGTTTGAAATTATAAAAATTTTTATTATATAAAAATAATCCGGTACTTAAAGGGTTAATGAGAAAGTCGCTAATTAATTCTTTACTCATGTACAGCATAGAGAGAAAATTAATCATTGGTTTTTTGTTTCAGTCCATCAACGCAGAAGAACGAAAGATAAAGCAATTATTTTGTTAACAACACTACAGTGTTCGACTGGAGTCGGATCATGGTATGGTCAGGTCGAGTCATGAAGAAAAAAAAGTTGAATTCGGGTCGGATCAGATCGAGTTACAAAAAAATTTTTGGATTTCGGGTTAGATCTGCAGTGTGAATATTTTGAAAATACAAAAGACATTTTGAATGTTTTTTATTTTTAAAAGTTTCATAAGAAAGCATGGAAAAGCTTAGTAGAACAAGAAATTATGTATTGCACGATGTTTTCTTCTACTTCACCGACTTTTCTTGATTAACATCGGGCAACGATGCACAGCGAGTGCATTGCCTGTTCAATACTAATATAAAGGTCACAGGTTGTATACATAAGAAAAGAAATAAAAGAAGAAAAAATTCTATCACATAATCGTGTTATCCTAATTGCGAAATATCGACGAAACACCAAGGACGAAAATAGGTCAAAGACATATTCTTTGTTTCCAACTACGAAATGAAAAGAATAAAGAAAAGAGTAAGAAATTCATTTTCTGAAGATACAGAGATGGTGGGTGTTGGAAATCTCTTCACCACTAGGCTCCATTCATCAAGAAAAATCTATTATGCCTGACAACATGGATGTTCTTCTTAGCATCAAACTATTGAACGATAGAAACAAACAAAATAATTGAGTTTCTTTTAAATAAATATTCATTTGTACATTATATAATTATCAATTATCTTTCTTTGGATAATTATCATCAGTAAAAAATTCCATCTTTTCCACTGAAATTTGTTGTTTATACAGTTTATATTTTTTTCTTTGTTCTTTCACTTTTCTTCTTTTTCATATACTTTTTGTATGTTCGTCATTCAATGAAGAAATGTTTTCCAACATTATCAAGCAAGCAGAAGGTAATCGAAAGTACCGTTAACGTTGAATATGATTGACATAAATATACAGGTTATGGCAATGGATACAAATGTATCTCAAGAAAATTGTTTATAAACAAAATAAGAAAAAAAAGCCATCAATGGCTAATCAATATTTAAGAAAAAAGAATAGAATTATTCAATAGAAAGTTTTTCAATGATTAAAAATGAATTGAAATTCTTATTCACATGTAACGATCAAAACAAAATCGAAATAAATTGATTAAATCTATCAAAATGAATTAGATAAAATATTCGAACAAAAAAAGAATTATGCTTTCTCTTTCATTATTGAATAAAGATTTTTCAATTATAAGCTATTAATATGTTATTTTCATTTCGCTCTTTTATTCAAAATATTTAAAGAGTTTCATTAAAATAGACAATTTAACTTTTGTTTTCAATAATTGAAAAATGATCATATAAGAACTATTTCTCTCAATCAAAATCAATTGATTGCTATTAATATTTTCTTATCAATTAGTATGAATAGAGATTATCCACAATTCCTACTAGCATCAATTTTATCGAATAGTTTTACTATTGATAATAGTTTTGAATCAGTGATATTAAAAATATAAATTGGGCAACAGCACGATCCTACGACCATATAACAAGTGAAAATTAATTTTTCAGGTGGTTCAATCAAAACAATATAAAAATGATTGAACTATTGATATTGGTCTTTATAGAAGAAACAAAAATACAACTATCGAATTATGAGTTAAATTATGGAGAAAAACTGACTGAAAAATATGATGACAAGTTCTTAGATCAATGTAATCCACCAAATAAAGAAACTGACTATTTTATCAAGGACTTTGATTAATTGTTAATCATCTGTATGGTTGCGATCAAGAAACTCTTTATTTTCTAATATATATTTAATTACATCAATATACATTAAATAATTAATTTAAGATAGCAAAAAACCAGGTAAAATCTTTCTATACTTTATAATATGAAAGATATTCATCGTTCTGCTCTAAAATACAATCACAATACACTAGAGATCAAACAACATTCTTTTTTTTCTTTCATTAAGATTAAACACAGATTTCCCACTTATAGTATAATATTGAAACCACTTATAGAGTTCAACCAAATGAAGATAAGTTACTTGAATACTTTTTAGAAAATAGTCTTAGACATTTATCAAAAATCATTCGTTATTGATTGTTACTTCGATATTGCCAATGTTAAGTCAAATGTGATAGACTTATTTCAACAAAGAGACAATGTTAATGTAGAACTTACATCTTATGAAAAATTCTTAACAATTAAGTTATAAAATAATACCAAAAATTCATGAACACATAAATATGTCATAATTAACTTGAAAAAACTTAATTGAGTTTAGAATAGCTGGTCGAAATAGAAAAACCATTACTGATCTTGAGTTCGTACAGTTCAATTACTAGAAAATATAAATGCAAATTTGATATTCGGCTACTAGTTTTAATCAGATCTATAATTTCAATGCTGCATTGAAAGTAAAGAAAATAAACCATTCATTAATAAAATATGTAAATAACGTTAATGAATAGTCATTGTGTTGAAATATCCGACTAAACATTTTGTTAGATCAATAGCTTTTATTTGATTTTAATCGAATAAGTTGACTTAATTTGTTAAATTTCATGAAAGAACTAAATTTATTCGTTTGTTTGAATCGAATTCATGTTTTTCTTTTCCCATCGCTAGAAATAAAGTTTTTATTATGAAAACTGTGTTTTTTATACAGGATGAGGATCAATAAAGTCATTTTTCGGCTCACAAAATTTTTGGATAATAATCATATGATGAGTACAAACTCAACATAGGCTACCATCCTAGCACAGTTATTTATCATTCCATGACTTCAAGATTTCGGATCCTCTGTACTTTCTTAGAGAGACAGAGAGAGGTAAGTTTTTTTTTTCAAAGTCCAATTTTTAGACATTTCTTGTACGAACAAGTTGACCATGTTGATTAAGAATATCGATATGAAAACCCTTTGAAATGTAACGTTAAAGCATAGATTTATTACAAGACTTTCTAGCAGGCTTATTTGTGAGATATAACTCTTTGAGACCTCAATCATAAGAGTTGATATTTTTAACAAAGATAAACTGGAATTTATAGTTAGTAGGATAATCATTCTCTTTCTCCCTTTGTCATCCTTTTTTTCTCGTTCTTTTCTGAACGTTCGTGATGTTATTCGATATGTTCAAGGAGCCTACAGATTTTACACACGAAGAAACTTCATTGAATGATAATTTAAGTTTTCACAAATAAAATTCTGAATAGATTCAATTCATTGTGAAAATATGAGGCTTTATAATAACTCCTCTCCTGAAATTCAAATATAAGATCAAAGATGATTTTTTTGTGTAAGAGGATTTTTCATATTGTTGTCTGAAGATGGAAGATATTATAAAGTGTACCACTTTTACAATGAACTGGTCCCGTTAAAAACTTTATTTGAGGAAACATTACACTCAAAGGTCGATTTTAAAGATGATCTTTAATAGATTATGACATTTTGTTTAAAAACTCACTGATATCGCCATAACTCTAGGAGAAAGATTCGTATGTTCTATTTCGTGATCATACTCAATTGCCAGAAAACAACAATATGAAATTAATTGAATAAATTTTGTTGGAAATAACAAGATCGATTGTTGAGTGTATGCATTTCTTTGATAAACTTTTCGTATGATTAAAAGATTAACATCAACAAACAAATAAGGTATATATATGCACTATTGTGTGTCTATCAGCGGCTTTCTTTGTTCTTATTCTTCACACATACCATTCTATTTTAATATAAAGACATGTAACACCAAACACGTTTCTTTTTTTCTCTTTCTTATTTACGTGATAGTAAATGTAATCAGTTCACCATCGACGACTGTAATGGCAACTACTGAAGAAAATGATAACAATAGACATATGACAACAAGTAAAATTTGTTCTATGTTTATTTAATATTATTCGAAAATAAGATCTGAGAAAAAAATAAAAATAATTATTAAAATTACTGTTAATTTATTTTGTTTGTGTTTTTTGTAACAAAAATCTATTATAATCTTGTATGATATTTCAAAAACACTATTAGTGTCCTTTAATTAAAAGCAAAAACAATTGTATTATTATTTAGATTTATCATCATTACGTCGTCGTTTCGCTTCTCTTGCACTTTCATGTATTCATCGTGAATATCCAAACAAAATTGCTCATGTTCTTACATCTGATGCAGATGTTCAAGCTCCACATCATTTAACACCTGCTTTTTTTGGTTGTTTTGATTGGCATTCAGCTGTTCATGGACATTGGCTTTTAGCTCGTCTTGGTCGTGTTGATAAAAATCTTACTTATGAATGTCGTCAAGCACTTCGACAAAGTTTAACAAAAGAAAACCTTGAAGGTGAAGTAACATATTTAAGTGGTGAGCAACGTCAACCATTCGAACGACCTTATGGTTTAGCATGGCTATTACAATTAGTTATGGAATTAGATGAATGGGCAGAAGAAGAAAAAGAAGTTTGCTATTGTTTAAATAAAAAGAAAACGAAAAAGAACAGTTTTTGTTTTTTTTGTTTTGTTTTATAGAGTTCTGAAGAAATTCTTCAATGGCGTGAGAATATTCGTTCACTAGAATTAATTGTCGTCAATCGTTTATCTTCATGGCTTCCAAAATTATCACATCCTGTTCGTAGTGGTGAACATAGTCAAACAGCTTTTGCTCTTGGTCTATCTCTTGATTATGCTCGTCATGTAAACAATTCAATATTTGAACAACTTATTGAACAACATTCATTAAGATTCTTCTCTTCAGACAAACTCTATCCATTTATTTATGAACCATCAGGTGAAGATTTCCTATCAGCTGGTCTTGCTGAAGCTGATTTAATGCGACGTGTTATGTACAAGAATAATCAGGAATTTTTACAATGGTTTAATGAATTTTTACCTCGTACAAATCTACCATCAAGTCTCGAACCACCATCAATTGCTGATCCAACCGATCCAAAATTAATTCATTTAGCTGGATTATGTCTTAGTCGAGCATGGATGTTAGAAGGTATTGTTGAATCATTGCCAGAAAACAGTGAACAACGAAATCAATTGTATGAATTAAGCAAAAGAAATGCTCAAGCAGGTTTAACAGCTATTGACGAAAGTCATTATGAAGGAGGACATTGGCTTGGCACTTTTGCTGTGTATTTGATAACACGACGAGGAATTCATCCAAATGAAATTAACAAACCATAGTTATAGAAAAAAAAAGACATGATGACTAAGACTACATTTTTTCTTTTCGATATATTTTAAAATCATAAATTCTGAAATGAAATATCGAATTTTTTTCTACGCGATATCGAACACTCATGACGACTATCTGTTGAAAAATATAATGTTATTTCACTGTGGAGATACAGTGTAGGTCAACGATAACCTATTCGTCTTGAACGATATTAAACTTGAATTTATTGTTAATCGAATTTTTTTAATGGTTTTTTCGCAGTTATGTTGTTATTTTATCTCGATGAAGTTGGAAACTTACTTACCATGAACCACTTTTGGAAAAATAAATCATTTTGGGGATTGATATATGGTTAGACACTTGCAAAGACGACTATTTTCAAATGGCAATTAGGTCTTTCATTTTCAGGATCGTACCAGAATCGTTCGTTTAGAATTCCGATGCGTCATCACTCATTGCAAGTGTTAGAAAACAAGATAACTCTAGACAGATTATTTTTTATGTTACTCATGATGAATGAATGAAAAATGATCCAAGTTGTCATGAAAAATATTGCTTTCAAATCTATAATCAAAAAATTGTTAAAAAAGCTACTCTACAAATAGGTTATACGATAGCAGTATATATTCAACCAGAATAATCAGTCTATGCGAGGAAATAAGAGAAAAACAAATAGAGTTTTTTTACTTTTTGAAAACACATCATTATTCAACTCATAGATCATACTCAAGAAGTGATGAAAAGAATTTTAAGTTTTTTTTTTCGAATTTGTAGCTAATTAAAGGCTTTACAGGATGTTTGAAAATTGTCTCGATTCGATGCTTTATTACTCCAAATAGATAGTTTTTATGAATTGATCAAAGATGGTCCAACGAGAGGTCAAGGATTAAAAAATGAACCATGAGTGAAGTGAATGTAGATCGATATCATTCATCTGTTTTATGAATAAAATTAGAAAGATATTCGGAATTTATATGAAACTATAAATTTAAGTTTAATTGATTGAATCCACATATAAAAAATATCAATCGAAGGTTGTATACGATACTTTTTAAGTTACTATTTTTGGAAATCTCTATGATTTATCTTTTAAATTTTCATTAACTCTTTGTAAATGAGATGTCTCTCGGTGTGCTCTGTCAAATGATAAAAATCACAATTTGATGGTTATTTAAATTCTTCAGTTATTCAAAAAGAAATATTCTTTCATATCTATTTTTTAACATTCATTCGGATTAAATTCTTCTGAGCTGTAATTTGTGCATTTGTTTTTTTTTGTTTTAACATGTTGGATTGCGTGAGCTTGATAGCAGAAAATATTTGAACTGTCTTTGTACTTCACCTGGAAAATCTCGAGCTGGATTATATATATTAAGTATTATCTTTGAAAAGAAGCGATCATCCAAATAGAATACGTATATGTTATGAATGATTTAAACAACATTTTATTAGCAATGCACATATAAAATAGCGTGCAAAATAGAGAAAAGAATCACACTCTTTGTATGTAAATGGAAATCATTTAACATGTCGTTCAACTACTCGTCGATTATTGATGTTGGTATATCTCCTGATGATCCTCTATTTTGGCGTCTTCCAACGCCTAGTGATTGCAAAACAATACGAATCATTGGTATATTCTTATGTCTTGCTGCTTATACTGGTTTTATTCTCAATGGTTCTCTTCTTATAAGTTTTCTTCGACATAAAGCATTGCGTACACCACCCAATATTTTCATTATGTTTATGTCAGGTATTGGTCTTTTTGCTTGTTGTGCTAATCTTCCACTAACGGGCACTTCATCGATATTTTGTTACTGGTTATACAATCGTGCTGGATGTCAAATTGAAGGTTTTGCTGCATTTCTTTATGGATGTTCGAGTTGTTATCTACTTTGCACAGTAAGTCTTAGTCGATGTTACATTATTGTAAGACCATTCAATGCCAAAGATGTTACTGTAAGTTTGTTTTTTTTGGAAACAAAAAACAAGAAAATTACAAACAACATTTTAGGTTATGAAATGCATTATTATTGCAATCATGGCTATATTGATTGCACTCGTTATAACTATATTACCACTCGTTGGATGGAATGAATATACTTTGGAAGTTAGTAGATTTTTATCGTTCAGTTTTTTTGCTGAATTATTTGTCTTAGGATATTTTTTTTCCATATAATAATTCGTGTTTTTATTTTCGAAGTTAAGATTTACTTTAAAATTTGTTCTACTAATAAGAGTGTGTATTTTTTTTTATCTATCTATTTATAGGGAACTCGTACATCATGTTGTACGAATTTGCATGACCGACGTTCTTCATATATTGCGTATAATTTGTTTATTTTTGTCGTTGTTTATTGTCTACCGTTGACTATTCTTGTCATAACAAATACAATTATTTACATAGGACTTAGACGTATGCGCGAGAAAATTGCACATGGTGCCAAGGCAGAATTAAGTCAAAAACGAATTGAAATGGAACGACGTATTCTAAAAAGTAAGGTGCCAAAACAATAATTATATTTACTAGCTTCGTTAAGTTTCATAAAATGAATGATAAAAGACTTGCAAATCTTTAAAAAAAATCCTAAGATATATTTTACATTTTGTTTATAGGTATTATAATGACGGTGTTTGGCTTTGTTTTCACTTGGACACCATATACAGTAACATTCTTCATTTCGGCATTCAGTAGAAGTAATTATACTGTACCACCAATGGCTACATTTATTTGCTCTTGCTTTGCTAAAACATCTGTTATGTGGATTCCATTTCTTTATATGAGTACATCCACTCAATTTCGATTAAGTTTGGTAGATATTGCCGCATTAGACAGGTTGTCTGCAACTACTACAGCTGCAGGAGAAGCACCAAAGGCAACTACTGCAGTTCGTCAAACTGGAAAAAAATCAATATCTCCCGATAATGTATCTAATGACAAAGATATTGCTACCATTGGCAAGTAATTGGTAAATAGATTACCTATATCAAACTATTCATATGTATCGTATTTCTGCTTTTTTTTTTGCAATATTAAATAATGCTTATTAGCGCTGATTTATATTAATGAACTTCTTTATTTTCAAAATAAAATAATATTTTTTTCTAGATTGATTAGAGAAATATTGACTTTTACGAATAATGCTTAAATTTTGTTAGTATTAAAATGAATATTTAGCGAAGAAAAAGATAAAATGAGAAAATATTAGATGGACATTGATATTTTTTTTTGTTCTTGTCAATTGAAATTTGTCAATTGAAATTTACGATGGCTAGAATATAAATAAAATAGCATCGTGTAAGAATTTTTAAAAATTCTTCAAAAATAACTCACTGTAAAATTCATGATTACATGAATTTCTCCATGAACAGACAAACCCAAATGAGCAGGTAACTTGACCCAATCGTCAAATGTGCCATCGTCAAATACTTTACTAAGTTTCACTTTACCACGTCCAATTAAATCTTTGTCACCAACATCAGAATCATAAACATCAAAATGAATTGTATCGTCTTCTGGATGTATATTGAATGTAAATACTTCATTCCATACTGGATCATGTGTATTTGGAATTGCTCTTGTGCGTTGTTTACAATTTTTTTGTGTATAAAGTTCAACAAAAGGATCGCTCTGGCCGACAGTATCTTTATCCTTTAAACGACGTCCCTCGACAATAGTTATTTCGAGCGTACCGGCAGGCATTGCGAAGTCGATGAAGCGAAAAATCAAATGACTTGTTTGAAAATATATGTGAATGTACACTACCTTTTTTTTTCTTATTAATGAAGGAACAGGTGTTTCTTTTTATTACCACAAAATGATTCATGCTTTCGTGTTTGCCCTTTTCATTTGATGAAGATATATGCGATACAGAACAGAAATAAGAACAATAAATAGATCTAATTTTTTATTGGTCACCTGGATGAAGAGATACCTAATGATGATTATTCATGTGTTTCTCACTGAAAATTATAGGCAACTGTCAGTTAACATACAATTTTTAAAAACGGAATATCATTTTGTGTCATGTTTTATAAAAATAAATTGAAAATCTAACGACAATGCAATGTTATTTATTTAAGAATACATGAGTCTAATTAACTGTTAGGACACCATTAGTCTATGTTGATCGATTTTCTCAAGGTCAGATAACTATGACTATGCAACATTAGTTGAAAAAACTAATAAAACAATCAAATCTTACAAAAATATAGTTTGTCAGATATTCAATAAGTTTAATTCTTTTTTGAACGACTCTATCTGTTCCTGTCCGTTGGAATTAAGTTAACATTTTTCAATTTGTAAGTTATTTTTCTTAGGATTTCTTTAACAATAGATAATCATGTTTCTGAATCGATGTATCCACAACCTGGAAAAAATGTTCTTATGAAAACTTTCTTAAAACTGAAGTTTCTCGATAAAATACTTTACTCAAACGGGGATAATAATCAGTATAAAATCTTCCAGTCTATTTATTTTCAAACGTTTCACTTTCGTACACTTCAAATATACTCACAAGAAGATCATTAACATTGAAGAAAATAACAAAATCCCTAAAGTGAAGGATCAGAGTTTGAGTGTATCAGCATGTATTTACATGAACGCTTTATCAAGCGAAATACATTTTAAGAAATCATAGATTTAGATTTTTTAAGCTGGTCCTAATATTAGTATCAAACTCGAAGTTTGAATTCATTTACTGAACTACTGTTTTGAGTATTTAAGTGTTCTATTACTCAATAATATTTTTTGTGTGTGTAAAGACTTCGTGGTACCCTCAGCAAGAAAGATATTCGATGTCTGCAGTTTCATGAAATACTCAAACACGTGAATGGCTATACTCAATAATTCAATTATTTTAGTTTCAACTGTTCAAGTTTCACTTATACAAGAAATATAAGTGCAACAAGTCCTATGGGTATTAATCTCATATTTGCACGTGATATTCTTCTTATACTAGGCATATTCATTGCTCGTTGTTTGATAAACCGATGTCATCGATGTTTACAGACTCATCGACCTCAACTCGTGAACATTGATACAGTCATGAGTCAGACAACTGCATCAGTCCTAAAATTATCTCATAAGAGTTTAGACAGTCTACATGATTTATTAAATGCATTTCCCTTGATTAACACTGATACAATCTAAAGCTACAATCATTGTTTAACATTTATGCTATTATACATATTTTATACGAATAACTTATTTGATTTTATTTATTTTTTCTTATTCAAAAAAAAAAGTATACAATTTGACATAAGTAGTTTCATAACATGCACGAGCCACTATTTCAGTGCATCAGCTTAAAAAAAGTACGATTATAATCGTTTGACACAATGTATTCTACGTTATTTTCGTTAGTTACAACTGAAAATACGATTATAATGATATGATTTAATTAATGAAAGGTCAAACAATAATTGCTAACTACAGTAGCTGATTTTAAGTAAAACAAAGAAATAGTGTCTACTAGCAAGTGCTATGAAGAAGACATGCTAAACTACTACACAACTCATATACAATCACGTTTGCAACAAAAGAAAAGAAGCTTCATAACAAGCTCATACACGGATATTGCAAGAATATATTTTTTTTATACATTAACAATTTTGAAATGAAAATACCAGTATAATAGAAATTTTCAAAACATGATTTAGACTATGGAAAATCTTACTATACTACTAGATGGTGCTTGTTCCGTCGTACTTGGAATTAGAATAGCAGTTTTGCATCAAGTTTCTGGACGAATATAGAATAGTTTTATCTGTATCTAGTGCTAACTTCACCTTTGTGAGATGAGATGTATCTAATCGTCATAACAAAAAAGCATAACCGCAATGACATACTGAAATCAAAGAAGAATAAAAGTAGAAAAGAAATGAAACGAAAAGAGAACGATCCCATTATAATAAAAGAAAAGTATCATTGTGAAAGGCAAAATTTGTTGCATATCTAATTTATATATACATATATACTTCGTACGAACTTGACTATACTACAGTTTGAGTATTGTTGATCTCTTCATAATGAACTTTGACTCTGTTCAATGATATTGGTTAACCTTAATTTGTGGATACCTTAACATAAAGAGTGTTCCAGAAGCTCTGGAACGATTTTAAATTCATTATTCTTGCACTCAACAAAAGCAAAACTCTTTGAAACTTTGGCAGATATTTGTACATACTTGGTTATACATAACTATAAAGTTTGAGGTCTATAACTTTTACTATGGATGAGAATTCGTAACAACATTGTCATATACAATTTTTCCGATTTTCGAGTAGTGAAAATTCGCTATAAGAATGGAAGAAAATATGTTATTTCCAGGACCTGTTTAGTCAACACGCATTAGAGTATAATTTTTTCATTTTAAGAATATATTTCCGTTTCTGCACATATTCATATCAGGAGTATATAGAGGTCAATATTAGTCTATTACGGCTAAATCCAAACAGTAGATTACACCAACCATCTGCTAAAGATAAAAAAAGATTTCGCTCTTTCATTTGACACTTCAAAAAGTTACATCCATCTCGGAAAGCAAAAGATATTCAATATTTTTATTATAATGAAAAAAAATCCTATTTTTAAGTATTGGGTTAATTAAAATTTAATTGAATATTCCGAAATAAAAGAATGTTGCTTTAAAAAAATTCAATCAGAAAAAGGTTTCGTTTTTATTCAATTTGAAAGAAATAATCATATTTTTTTTCTTATTTAAATAAAATTTTTCAAGATGTGTTTCGAGGTTTGATATTTGATGGGTTATAACCATCGAAATACTTTCCTGTATCGCCCAGCTATTGACATTCATCGTACGAAGAATGGAATATAAGGATTTATACGATGATAAAGATTTCGTCATCAGACGAATCAAATACTATTAGTTATTAACTAACTAATTAATAAAATGTCTGTCACGTCTGTGAGGGTGGAGAGTGGGTCCAAATTTCTAGCCCTATATACTTCAACACTCCTTTTAGATCGTGTTTCACAAAATTCTAGACCTCAAACTTTGTAGTCATGTAGAACTAAGCACGTACAAACATCTGCCAAAGTTTCAAAGATTTTGCTTTTGTTGAATGCGAGAACGACGAATTTATAATCGTTCCAGAACTTCTGGAACACCTTTTATACACTGTCCGGCATATTATTTTGTCAAAGGATTACTTGCACACCAGTGCATTTGCCAGCCGTCATTAATGCTCTAAATGAATTAATATGTTCATCAATGATGTTTCAAGTAATTATCTGTTATAATTAATTCATCCTCGTCATAGCACTATGAAACACATGATTTCAATTTAATGTCATAGTTTAATAAAAAAATTAGCAATCTTATTAGACAATGTTTGAGCATCAAATTTATGTAAACGTATCAGACCAAGAAAGTATTCTTGAACAATATTTTTATTCTCATCTATAGGTGCCATTACTCGTACGACTATTGAAAGTTATTCGTGATCAGTGCCTATCACGGTTTTCGTCGGTCAACAAAGCAAACATATGTCCTTTGACGTATGAAGGAAACGTATTATTAATTATGATATTATTCTATCAAGTAATAAATCATTAGTTTCTCTGCTATCTGTCGCCTAACTTGATTAGTCATAACTTTAATTAACTCATTTTAAATACTTGATGAGAGATACATCGGATTTCTATTGGTATCTTCGAATATGGATTGTGTGATTGAATTAGTGGAAGAAGTTCATTTAAGTATTTCCAGAAGATTGCCTTTATTTGAAGAACCATAAAAATACTAACCAACAAAATAAATTAATATTTATGACATACATAACATCTATTATACTTACTTCTCACTTTCATCATGCTCCGCTGGTGCCAATTATTTGCCTCGAGCATAATAATAAGGCTAGCGCAATTTTTGTCAGTCACTCTCAATTTCGACGTATTTGTTCAATCCAACCTTTGTCTAACATATGTGTGACGTTGCGTTGTGATTGTGCTTGTTGTTGATAAGCTGTATACTTGCTTGCTTGCTGCTAAAATATGACCGTGATACTTTAAATGTTGATCGACGTCTTTCGGTTTATCAAGAGCTTTTTTTGTTCAATTTTGAAATCCATTATTGACGAATGCATCAGTTTGAGGTTTTTTGTTTGGTGATGATGTTAGTACACTGGAATGACAGCAATAATAACAGTAATTACAATCTTTTTTGATTGAGTATTCTAGTCATAGTCGTCCACCAAATCAATTTGCCATGAATTATCGATTTTCATGATTTCTTGGATAAGAAATAAGCTTTGGTTGAACCGGTGAATCTTGACATGAACGACTAATATCAATAATATCAGCAGATATTCCACTAATTGTCGTGTCTTTAAGTTGTATGTTTTGCTCATTGTCAATGTTAACATTCTGAGATGATTTCATTTAAGAAGTTTCAGCATGTTTATCATTAGTGATAGATGCATATGAATCAAATGATTGTAAAATAACATTTTCATTATTGATACTATCATCAATGTTCGAATTTATAGACTTACTCTTCTTTTGAGCAGACGAAAAAAAAAGAATCAAGAGTGTTTTTGTCATTATTTTGCATGAATTAACGTTCTATGCTCTGTGAAAAAGTGTAATATTGTGATTAAAAATGCATTTGCAAAATGATTCACTTTTTAAGAGGTATAATTGAATTAACTATTCTTTTTCATGTTAATCTTTTTAAATGTATTGCTTTCTTCTATTTTACACTAAATATTACACTCTTGTTTCTAAAAAGTGTCAAAAAAGTTCAAAGAAAAAGTAATCATTGATTACCTTTGAATATTCTATTAGACAGAAATAAAATTATACAATACTTCATTCTTCAATTGTAACTATGTTGATTATCAAAATTATACGAATAGAAATTCTCGTAGGAAGAGGAGGAGGCTAAACTCTTTGTAGAAGAAGATAGACTGAGCCCTTCTAGCTTCCATTTGGATACACCACTAACTGTAACTAAAGCTATTCTATATTCGAGAGTCACTCCCTTATTGAAGAACAATTTGTTAGCTGATTTTCAAAGAGAACGTTCCTCATATTAGTTTCTGATAGATTAGTCAAATGCTTATTCGGCGTCGACTCCATTTTACTAAAGATCGATTCTTGTGAAGACCGGTGCCAAATGGTAACAAGTTTTTATATAATAAATGAGGGAAAAAAATTCCACTGAATCCCTTTGTACAGCATTAACGTATATTATAAGTTTCACCAATAACGAAAATTCAATCCGAACGAATATTTAAAGAATGAAAAAGAGTTGTATATTTCTATAATATAAAAGATAATATAGTTAGATTAAATGTTTATAATAAAACCTCGTATTTTCTCGAACAATAAACGTACATTGTAGTATTATGACAACAGGTTAAATAATAAACTGACGACAGAAATCGTTCCCAATAAGCAATTATTTGATTGTATTCCAATCATTGCTGAATTATTTGATGAAGATGTCGAGCAAAGTGGCAGTACATTAGAAGGAAATGCACCACCTTTATTTCCTGCAGGATAATAGTTTGCCACAACCTTAGCAATTTTATTATCGCTAGTAAATGCAATACCAATGCCTAATTGTATTGATTCTTTCCATATAACTTGTGTAAAATGCCCGGTTGATGATGAAAAACCGGGCGAACCATAATTGTACAAGGAGATCTCATTGTACCAACTGTTAGTTGGTGACGAACCTAACAAATATTCCAAAAGAAATATATGTTTAAGGATTTTTTCTTAACAAATGTTATCTATATATTACCATTGATAAAGGTTATAGCAACTGAAGATGACATAGACCAAAGGTTTTCACCTAATCCTGAAACTCCACTATGCACAAAAAGATTGTTCGTCGCTAAATAATTAGCATAATTTTGAGCAATGGTATTTATTGTTGAATTGAGCGCCATTGCAGCAGTACAATGAAGTTGACGAAAATAATTGTGTTGAAGAAGAGCCTGTTGTTGGAAATCAGCAAGTACAACTACGCTTGAACTCAATCGATAGAATACCATCGTCAAAGTTAATAGTAACAATACAAATTTCATTGAAGTTCTATTAAAATTGATAATTCCTATTTCTATCTTAGAATATGAATTCTCACTCTAGTTCTACGCGCTACTCGGTTTTATTGATAAATATTTCTCTTTTTTCAATATTCTAAATATTTCTATAAGTATAATTGTGTGAACAAGTTTATTTTCATCTTATTATATACTCACGCAAATTGAAACAAAAGCAAATTAACATAAAATATATGCGCTGCTTTATTTTTCTTTAGTTTAAACAAACAATTGAAAAAACTAATTAAGAAAAGTTCGAAAAATTGCATAGTTTATTATTAAAAATGATTGATTCTTTTCTGAATAAGATTTATTCGATTGTATAAACAACATTCAATTAATCTCAGTAAATATTATCGATGAGTCTTCTGTTTCTATGTCACTCATAGTCTTTGTATTCTAAACATGTTCACACATAAGAAAACAGTAAAATTCTTCTTTCATATGAATTTATCTGTATTAATTTTTACTGTGAAGTATGTAAATAGAATCCATTCGAGTGAATCAATAAGCTAACCTATTACTTAACAAAAATTGCACTCAATTTGCATCAACCATAAGAAAGTCCCACATGGGTAAAAATATGGAAAAAATTTTATCAAAGTTACTTTTCACTTCTTTTCTGTAAAGAATTATCTATTCAGTATTTTGTGAATATATCTGTCAGTTTTTAATGTTTTGACTTGAATTTTTTCCAAAAGATAGTCTGCGCAATTCTCTACAAAAATAAAAAAAATAAAAGCTTTTTAAAAAGATAGTTGAACAACCATATCCGATAAGTAATACTACATTCCAAAAAGATGCACTTTCAAAAACACTTTTTACAAAACAAATTACTTCACTTCTTCTGACTAAACAAGTTTTAGACCATTTTAAGTTATTTTTTTGAAAAAACTTCAAGTTAAAGCATCAAAAACTGACAGAGGTATTCACAAAATACTGAATGGGTAATTCTTTACAGAAAAGAAGTAAAAAATGACTGTAATAAAACTTTTTTCAATATTATTACACATGTGATACTTTCTTATAGTTTATACAAAATGAGTGCAATTTCTGTTGAATAATAGTTTAGATGTTACTCTTCAAATGTATATATCCAACACCTCTCCACCTTTCAATATAGCAAAGATATAAAAAATAAAAATAAAAATGGGGCTGTTACTTATGGAACACCGATTGTGCAGTTGTAAAGACATTATTCGTGATTGTGAAACAGCTGAATTTATTGATTATCATGTATTCCAGATTGACTGAATCATATTCGACTATTGTTTGAGTTTAGAATAAACATTTCTTCTAATTTCTACTAATGAGACGTAGTAGTAAACTATAATATAAATTATCAATTCAAAGTATAGAGTAACAAGTAAAATATATAATAGTGATTTTTTTAAAATTTTAATTATGAGTTATCGATTATAGCAGATGGTATTGTAATTTATATTTTGATTCAATTGTTTTCTTCCTATAAGCTTGTTTTTCACCTTCAAAAAAATATGATAAGAGTAACACTTGAAATGGAAGAACGTAACTTTTCCTTTAACTTATTAAAATAATTAAACACATTACACTATGAACAATTAGTAAAAATGTGACACATATTTGCTATAAATTTCAATTTGAAAATTTTTCCTTGATAAATAGTACACAAATATCTTAGAACTCTTTCCGATGAAATTCAAGAATGCATTTTACTGTATGATGATCTCTAAGAGGTTCTTGACAAAATTCATATGATAAATTATTGTACTTATTACAGAATTGTCAATCGAAAATTTCGATCAGAAACAGTGTTACTTATATTATTTTTTTTTTATATGAATTTCTCAGAAAACTCAAAGCTTGAATTGTAACATATTTTTGTTTGCTTCTAATGAGTTTCTATTAAAAATAATATGAAAAAAGAATTTATTTTTGCTATTTGGTTATTTCAATAGCATTATGCAAAATGAAAACTTGTCTAAGACAATTGAAAGTATCTGTTTTAAGGCCTCTCATCTTCTTTCTTCTCAATGCACAACTACTTGTTTCATAAGAAAGTAAATTTATTGGTGTGCAACAAAAATAATCGAAACAATAATTCAATTCGTATCATTCGCTGTAGTTAGAAAAACAGGTGACACGTCAAATTCTTTAGCATTTACAATACGTGTTACAAAGCTCTCTTGTCATTGTCGACATGATTCACTAGAAAATCAATAAAATTTAGTTGCATTGTCGATCAATAATCAGTATTTCATCGCTTTATTCCAATTTTTTACGAAAAAAATTCCATAAATATTTTAGCGAAAATTCCTCAGTAATCTTAAATATCACTCGAATTTATAGTTGCAATTAATAAATTTAAAGATAGAATTTTGGTTGAATAATAACTATTCTAGGTGAAGAGTTTTTTTTATAAAATATGAAATCAATAAGTTAGACATCTAAAATTTAAAACTTGTTTATATCTCTATTCTTTTTGATAGTTCTATTTCTACATTTACAAATGAAAACTGTATATAGAATATGCAATACTATTCTTAGTCGTAATAGTAATCTATCATTGAATGGTTCTAATGTTGAAAATTATTATTCATTTGCGAACTACATCATTTTGGATCATGTAATCTTAGTTTCCTCATCAGTTCGTTCAATTGTGGAGTAAAGATTAGATTCTATTTGAGACTGAAAAAAAAGTCCGGTATTACTTCTAGCTGTAAAATTTTGTATAGCTTTGAGTTTTATCGTAGCATGATCCAATGACAATAACAATAGAAATTAGTCATCAAATTCTTTCAGCATTAATTTATGGATTCAGTTGAATGGTATCATTAAACTCTCTTTGAAAATGAATAATTTCGCGTGAATAGATTTAAATTTTTTTAGTTTTTTTTGTCCTTTGATATTTTCCTGTAAAAAATAAAAGATATTTGTTATCTATTCTGATTATAAATCTCCAGAGATGATCATCGGCTATTATTAATCCAATTTGATCTAATTTTTTTAAATTTCATTGTAAAATATTCACTAGAATTTGACAGATCTATCAAAGAAATAAATGAGTACATTCATCTTAATGTTTAGATGACATAAAATAAACTTTTATTAAATAAAATAATTAATTTTTTTAGAAATCATTTTGATTTATTCATATTAAATAAATATATTTTAAAACTTTTTTGTAGAAAAATTTTTATATGTTCTTTCTACGTGGTTGAACTGATCATTCGTCAATATTATTATATTATTTTCTTGTATCGTCTAACAAAACTCAAAATATAATCGAAAAATATAAAAAACTTATTGCATAGTAAATACAAACATACAATGTTTATATTGTTTTTTTTCTTTCGCATTTTTCTTTTTTCGTTCTGTTGACATTACTCATATGACAACGATATCTTTTTTGTCGTTCTCTCTTTCCAGTCAATTCAGGTAATTGCGGATTTTTTTTCATTCTTTTCTGTATTGTACGAGAATGCACTCATAGTTTGTAGACCTTTCTAGAAAGTAATTTCTTGCTGGCCTCGATTTTTATATAAATACATATTGTATTCTCGATTTTGACAAAATTAATATAACTGTGTAATTTACGCGCTTTTCTACTCAAATTTATATTTAGTAAGTAGACTAAACGAATTCAGACTTATGTTTTGTCTCTGAAAGTTTTTAATTATATACTTAAAAAGAGTACATTTTGAAAAATGTTATCTTATTGTTTATTATAATAAAGTGAACATAGTTAGATAAAAACAAAAAATAATGAGAAATAAAATAAAATACTAAAACAGAATTTATGTTAATAAAAATTGAACAACAAAAAAAACTCTTTTATAGTTTCAATTTCAATGTTGAAATAGAAAATAATTTTGTATAAAATCTTTGTATATGATTATAAAATCTATTATCTATAATAAGAATATAATCTAGCGTCATCTTGCCTTATTAGAAAAAAATCTCATAGACGAGGTCCAATAAGATTGCTTTTTTCTTCCAGTAACAATTATGAATCTACATTAATACGATTTTTATAAGCAAAGGTCAATAGGTTCTTTTTCATTATATTATTCTTTGGAATAGTTTATAGAGTTAACTAACAAAAAAAATCTATATCTATTTTAGAAATTAATCATGTCGTATTCTCCTGAAGATTTTACTGATCAAAGTAACAAAGCAATTGCACAAGCATTGGAATATGCTCAAGAACAAAAACATATTGAACTTGTACCATTACATTTAGCACATGTACTTATCGAAGATGAACAAGGTTTAGCAAGACAATTAATAAAAAAAGCTGAATTTAATGTACAAGAAGTTCAAGAAGCAGTTGATTTAAAATTAAAAAAATTATCAAAACAAGATCCACCACCATCAAAAATTTATCCAAATTCATCATTTATGAATGTATTAAAACAAGCAAAAAAATTATCCAAACAACAAAAAGATAGTCATACTGCAATTGATCATATTTTAGCTGCTTTATATGAAGATTCAGATACAACATCAGCTTTTGTTTCAGTTGGTTTAAGTAAAAAACGAATGGAAGAAGTTATTAAACAAATAAGACAAAATAAAAATGTTACTTCAGCTTCAGCAGAACAAGTATTTATTTATTTAAAGATTTTTTTTGTTTTTGGTAAAATTTATTTCGATCATTTTCTTTTTAGACATATCAAGCATTAGAAAAATATGGTCATGATTTAGTTGGAGATGCTGAAGCAGGAAAATTGGATCCAGTTATTGGTCGTGATCAAGAAATTCGTCGTTGTATTCAAGTTTTATCACGACGTACAAAAAATAATCCTGTTTTAATTGGAGAACCAGTAAAAATTTTATTTAATTATTTAGATATTTTTCAATGAAAATATTTTTATTTTAAATAGGGTGTTGGAAAAACAGCTATTGTTGAAGGTTTAGCACAACGTATTGTTCATCAAGATGTTCCTGATACATTACCACGACGTTTAATTGCATTAGATATGGGAGCATTAGTTGGTAAGATTTTATCAGCTTAGATTTATTTTATTTGACAAAAAAATTTTAATATGTCAGGAAAAAAATTGTCCAGTTTCAATTATTTTCAGATTTTTCTTAGAGAACTCATTCATATGTCATTTTCTAAGATCATTCGAAAGTACAGAGAAATTTTATTAATCGGAACACTTTTTGAAATTAAAATATTTCAATTAATTTAATAAAAAAAACAAAAATTTTAGCTGGTGCAAGTCATCGTGGTGAATTTGAAGAACGTCTTAAATCAGTTTTAAAAGAAATTCAAAGTTCAAATGGTGGTATTATCTTGTTTATTGATGAAATACATTTAGTTCTTGGTGCTGGTAAAGCAGAAGGTATAAATCAAATTTTAATTTTTAAGCAGAAAAAAACGAATTAATTAATTGTTTTTGGTTTCAGGTGCAATGGATGCAGCAAATTTATTAAAACCAATGTTAGGTATGAATTTTATTATTAATTTTATAATTTAATAAAAAATATTTCTTCTAAAGCTCGAGGTGAACTTCGTTGTATTGGTGCAACAACTTTAGATGAATATAGAAAATATATTGAAAAAGATCCAGCATTTGAAAGACGTTTTCAACAAGTTTTGGTTAAAGAACCATCAGTTGCTGATTGTGTTTCTATTTTACGTGGTCTTAAAGATCGTTATGAATCACATTTTGGTGGTATGATTTATTTATTTCATTTGTTTTTGTTTTTTCCTGCATTTATTTAATTTGTATTTTTTTTTTTCGTCTTTCTTTAGTTCGAATTCTCGATTCAGCTTTAGTTATAGCTGCACAATTATCTAATCGTTATATAACAAATCGATTTTTACCAGATAAAGCTATTGGTAAAATATTTATTTTAAAATAAAATTTAATGTTTTCGTTGTTTTTTTTTTCTTTAAAGATTTAATTGATGAAGCATGTGCAAGTATACGTGTACAATTAGATAGTCAACCGGAAATAATTGATCAATTGGAACGTCGTGAATTACAATTAGATGTTGAAGCAACAGCATTATCTCAAGAAAAAGATGATGCATCAAAACAACGTTTAAAACAAGTTAAAGAAGAATTAGCAAAAATACGTGAAGAATTAAAACCATTAAAATTAAGACATAAAGCTGAAAAAGAACGTGTTGATGAATTAAGAAAATTAAAACAAAAATTAGAAAATCTTCATGTTAAAATGGCTCAAGCTGAACGAGAAAAAAATTTAGCTTTAGTAGCCGATATGAAATATGGAGCTATACCTGATCTTGAAAAAAAAATAGCTGAAACAGAATATCGTATTACAGAAGAAAATAAGCAACAGCAAGATCGATTATTAACTGAAGTTGTTGGACCAAATGCTATTGCTGAAATAGGTTTGAATTTAAATATATCTTTCATTAAAGATTCTAGTAGATCATTTCAATTTCTCTCAAAAATTATTTTAAACAAATAGGAGAATATATCTTAAAATCAGATGATTTAAGGGTATTCCCCTTTCCGGGATTTCTTGAGAACATAAGAAATTATCTGATTTTCAATCATTTTGATTTGTATGAAAATGAAAATTTTGTTATTTAGTTAGTCGATGGACTGGCATTCCAGTATCAAGATTATCTCAAACTGAACGTGATCGTTTATTAAAATTAAGTGAACATTTACATAAAAGAGTTATTGGACAAGATGATGCTGTTGATAGTGTTGCTGAAGCTGTTCTTCGAAGTCGTGCTGGACTTTCAAGACAAAATCAACCAATTGGATCATTTTTATTTTTAGGTTAGTTTTATTTAAATTAAATAATAAATTATTGAATTTCTATTTGTATATTAGGTCCAACTGGTGTTGGTAAAACTGAATTAGCAAAAACATTAGCATTAGAATTATTTGATTCAACTAAATCAATGATTCGTATTGATATGAGTGAATATACTGAATCTCATTCAGTAGCTCGATTAATTGGTGCACCACCAGGTAAAATTTATTTAACAATGTTTTTTTTCTTGATTTATTTCAATTATTTTATTTGTTAGGTTACGTTGGTTTTGAACAAGGTGGTCAATTAACAGAAGCTATTCGACGACAACCATATTCTGTTATTTTATTTGATGAAGTTGAAAAAGCACATCCACAAATTTGGAATACTTTATTACAAGTTTTAGATGATGGTCGTCTTACTGTAAGTTGTTTATCATTATAAACAAAATTTTTCTATTCAATCATTTTTAGGATGGAAAAGGTCGAACAGTTGATTTTACAAATACAATTATTGTATTAACATCAAATATTGGTGCACAATATATGTTAGAAGATGTTGAAAATCCATCATCTACAGGAAAATTATCTCAACCAATAAAAGATCGTGTTATGAAAGAAGCACGTATTTTGCTTTTTTCTAAGATAATATTTAATTTAGTTTTTTTTTTTTTATTTAAAAGGTTCGTTTACATTTTCGACCAGAATTCTTAAATCGTTTGGATGATATTGTATTCTTTCAACCACTTAGTTTCAATCAACTTTCGTCCATTGTTCATCTTCAATTACAATCACTCGAAGAACGTTTGAAAGAACAAGATATTTCAGTTAGTTTAACAGATAAAGCTATTCAATCAACTCTCAAGAAATCATATAATCCAGGTATTTTATTCTTACTAGCAAGAATCCCTGCATACTGCACGGCTGTTTTCTCTCTAAACCTATGACCTTAGACATTTAACTTTTCATCCGGTAACAGACATGCAGACACCTGATATCATGTATATAAATAGATAGCCCTACGGCCTGATACTCTTATATAGCACATTTTTCTATAGTCCAGGTAACATTCGGTCTTATAGCCTTATCTCCTTATTGCTTTATCCATTATTAGCTACCCCTTACTGCGTTACTCCCTTGAGGGTCTATGCTTATCCTTATATAATAGCCCTTGAGAACCTATGGCTACCCCCATATAATAGTCCTTGAATGCCTATGAGTATCATGATATACTAGCCATTGGACCTTCCACTTATAGCCTTATTTGACCTTTAACCCGGCCCAGAGAGACAGACACTGAACATTATATATATATATATATATAGATTCATATTCCAAGAATTTTTTGTTATCCTCAATATTGTTCTATAATTAATGAGAAACAATGTTTTGAGTTCATATTTAACTTACTTAGAATCCGAAGACTCAATTTTAAATAAATGAGATCTTAAGATATATAAAAACTGAGATGAGTAGTGACCGAAACCAACCAATGGTTTATTGTTATAACCATTATAAATAAAAGTATCTATTCCTTGTTATCTGTCAATTTGATAATTATTGTCATTAGCATAGCCTTCAATTCATGAAATTATCGGAGAGAAATTCATCCTGAGAGAAACAGATGCTTTTGTATGCAGTGCCTAATTGAATAGCTTTGAAATTCAATCCAGTTATCGAGCAAATCTTCTTTCATTATTACATATCTATTTATAACTTATCTGTTAATTAGGACCGATAAAATTCTATTTGTTATTTTTTTTTCTTGTGTAAAATAGTTTATGGTGCTCGTCCATTGAAACGTTATCTTGAGAAATATATAACAACTGAAATTTCAAAATTAATAATTCAAATGAAACTTCCACAACACAGTCATGTTACAGTTGATACTGATGCAAATGATCAATTTCAATTTCATATTCAACATTTACAAAAAACAACTTCACCATCAAAACCTACGTATCATCGTAAGTATTAACAATAATATTAAATTAATTTTTTGTAGATTTGTTTTTTTCTTAATAGGTCGTCGTACTTATGAAGGATTAGATGAAGAACCAATGATGGATGTTGATGACGATGAAGAATATGATAACGAATTTTCTGGTTATGATGATAAGAAAAATTCACCTCAAGCTTTTTCGAAACGAATGAAACAATCACCAAGAATGAAAAAATAATTTCATTTAGATTTTATTCTATGTTCATATTTCAATCAACCAATAAAAGATTCAATTCATCATTAAAACATCATTTTTATTCTTTATCTCTCCTTGAGAATGTGTCTGTAGTGTTACTTATCTTTTTTTTTTTTTGTTTTAAATAAACATGCAAAATATAATTTCAACTCGTTTAGAAGATACATACAATTGTTCATCCTTGCCTAATTTTTGTCTTACATGTAAAGCAATATTCTCATTCAGCAAAGAAAAAGCCTTACATATTAGTATATGTTCATCGAATGAACCTCCTGCAATCAACAACTTAAAATTGTTGATTGTATTCTCTTTCGATGATAAAGAATCAATCTTTAACTTTTCGCTTAACTTATATGATAACTCTCGAAGTAAAGAAGTAAGTAAATCTTCTAAATTATCATCTGGGGACGTCTATAAACAATGCCCAGTTAAAATAGCTATCTTTTGTTACCTCTTCTTAGGTCCTAGTTGAAAGTGTTCGGTATTGATTGGGCCCCCAGCAGTTCCAACTCATGAGTCATGATCATATGAGCGGAAGAGCTGTTTCCAGTAATTAGTTCACATCAGAAGAACTATTCAAACATTCCTTAAGATCTGAGCTGAACTGTTCAAATAGTTCGACTCCATTCCATGACCTATTTAACCCAAATCAATTGACGGAATTCAGATACACAAAAAACTACATTGCTCGTAGAACATCTGAGCTACTAATAGCATCATCAGGAATAGGTGTGAAAGCTCCAGTTTTTTTAGAGCTGTGGGGTTGAAGCTGGTACATACATAGCACCAACACCTGGTGCTTTGTCTTAGATGTGTATTAGGCTATCTGTTCCTGTTCCATGGCACATACACCTGGTGCTATATTTTCTCAGTGGTTTCTTGCCTATCGGTGTTCCGTAGCACCCAGACGTAATGCTATGCCTTGAACAGTTGGATACTTGAAACAACTGTTCGAGTTTTACATGTATGATTTTTTTTAAGCTGAGGAGAAAAATTTCGACAAAATCTTATTAAATATTTTAATATTATACCAACATCAAGAAATTTTATAAGTTCACATTGATTTTCGATATCAACACTAAGATTATTTGGATAATCTGTATTAAAAAGATCCATAAAAATATCTAATCGTTTTTTAATTATTTGTCTTTGTTCTTCACGGCGTTTTGAATTTTCATCTAGATGATATTTATATTTAAACCTAAATGAAATAAAATCAAAAAAATAATTAGTTGATAAACAAAGAAATCCACAAACCATATTTCATCTTTTATGTGCTGTAAAACATTCCGCAATCTGAGTTTTTTTTAAATCTGTTTTATAATTCTTATAACGTTTAGCTGCATCTTCTTGATCAAGATGTTAATATTGATCAAGACGAGAATTTTTAAAACTAAGTGAAGCTAGTTGTGTTGCATCATCGGATTATTCTCTACAAGAAAAATAATTATCGGATTTCAAAATATATAGACAATTTTACTTATTTAATTGATCGACAAGTCGGATGAAAATTTCCACCACCAGGTAGATCAAAATGGAATAGTGGCCAGTCAGGACTTTTTCTCTGAGAGAAAAAAATAAGTTTTTCAATATAAAGGAAAATCAGTTTTTATCAATCACGAAGAAATTCGTTTATTTTGTGATAGACTCATGTCGCATCTAAGTGGAGTTCGATTATATCTTGGCGGACAATCTCGTCCAGGTGGTGGACGATCGGGATATTGTCGTCGAAATTGATTTAATCGATATCTAAAAAAAACAAAGAAATATAGTTTTCTTGATAACTTCGATCTTTCCTTATGTTCCATCATTCTAGTCGCCCCGCCGTGATTGTTATTTGCTCTATTTCCTCCCAAATCATCCTCTTCACGATGAAATTTATCTCGATTTCTTAAAGCCATCATCACTATCACCCATCATATTCTAAAAATCCTCCACAAAAAAAATTCTTATACATGCTTTGGTGTCGTTCTCTTTCAATCAAACATATTTAATACCTTGTGACCTCTTTCTAACAATCTGATGATTTAATTATCGAATCTAAATCCAAATATTGACATTTATCATATCATTTCGGCACACACACAGACACAGACAGTTTCCATAAGTAATTTGATTGATTGTTGATTTTCCAATCAACGATAAATATATTGTACACTTATAAAAATAGTTAACTTTATTTTTTTTTAAATTTTTACTGATGAGTTTCTAAATAAATGATTCTTGCTTAAGACTAATTGGATAATTCGATTCTATCAGAAATAGAAGTTTCAGATATTCCATCATGTCAATTCAATTAAAAAAATAAATCATCAATCTCTCTTGAAACTTGATTAATATTTCACGATTTACTTGGATAAGAAGAATCATCTGATAAGATCACTACTAAACATAGTTCAATAAAACAATATCTTTCGTTTTCGATGATCTTTACCCTATTGCAGTTGAGTTTTTGAAGTTCATTTATAAAGTAGTATGTATTTATTTTATTAAATCGAACAAAAATTTTCTTTAAAATAAAAAAAAGTCTTTCTTATAAATTGTCATTAGATCATGTAAATTTTATTTATTCTCTTTTTGTTTATTATTAAAAATAAAAATAATTTCACTTTACTTTTTATAAAACAATGAAAATGAAGTTTTATTAATTTATATTTGTAATTAGCAATAGAAATGACTTATTGATGATCAATTATCAACAAAGAGAGAAATGATACATTGATTATTAACTTTTCAAATGATATATAGATGAAGACTACTAAAGTTTCAAGTCTCATTATATTATAATTCAATTTATGAATAGACGAGTTAGATATTCGTCTGACAAATCTTCGATCTCAAACGGTATCGTAAATGTTGACATTCAATTTTAAGTCAAAATTCAAAAATATTTAAATCTAACAGTAGGATTCGAGAAAGATTAATTTTTATCTATCAGATATAATACCAAGTCGGATCGTATAAATCTTCGTGACACATTATCTTACTACGACGTTTCACAATCGAATTAAGTGAAACCTTTGAAGGCGACGTATTAGTTGCGTATTATAAAAAGTATGTTATATATAATAAAGATTGTGATAAAAGAAGAATGACCTGCCGAAAATGGCCTATCAATGAACGACAAGAGAATGTTTGAGAGAAAGAAAAATGGCATCATCTGTTCATTATAACCTAGTATTATGACATGAATATTTATCTTTCATTGTTCTCTCAGACGGTAAATGACAAAAAAAAAAAAGATATGTCAATATAAATGAACATAATTGAAATGAATCTATTAGACATGAATATTTCAAATAACAATCATCTCAATATACTTGATATGCCCAATGAAATTTTATTTATAATTTTTAACAAACTAAATATGGTCGATGTTCTCTATTCACTTGTCGATGTCAATCAACGATTTGATAAATTATTACTTGATCCACTTTATATTCGTAATCTTGATATGACTTCTATGACGATGAAATCATGTTTTGATCTTGTCTATTCAATAGAGAATGAAGTTCTTTAAAGAATTTCTAAAAATATTTTACCTCGAATTCATCAGCAAGTAAATGAACTCACTATTGAACAAGATTCAATGGAACGTATCCTTCATAGAATCCATTATCCTCAACTTTACTCCTTATCACTTATAGATTTTCAAGAAGAAGTACTTATCAAATACTTAACAGGTTAACTATTTTATTTTCTTTATTTTAATTAACTCAATAGTCAATTCATTAGACATAACGTAATAATCAATTTTCGTTTTTTTGTTGTCTGTGAACCAAAGGTGATACAATGCTTCGCAAGCTTTTGATTGAACAAATAACATGTCTTCAAATTGATGTCAAGGATCAGACAACAGTACCACCACCACTTCCTCAAACTCTTTCGACTATGTTTCCTTTGATTTTATCTTTATGTAAAAGATTAATAAAGTTAAATTTTTGTCAATTCTATCATCGATCAACGAGTCCTATTTTGGACGTATTATCAACCAATTGCAACTCTTCAACTTTGACTACATTGGAAATTAGTGTGAAAACTTTCGATGATTGTCTTTATCTAGTTGATGGCCGTCTCAATTGTTTATCAACACTGAAAATATATGTGGACAATATTGCATATACATCAGCAACTATAGATAGCACGGTTAGTATTATTGTCTTTCGACAAAAAAAAACAACAAACTCAATAGATAAACATAGTTTGTTTGATTTTATTCATAGAAAAAACTTCCCAAATTGAAACACTTCACCTTATGCTCATATGCACGTACAGTTGCTTATGATAATCGAATTGTTCGATTACTTCGACGAATGATAAATCTCGAAGAATTGATATTATTTCTTTCAATAATAAGAACTGACTCAAATTATATTGATGGTATTCAATTATATGATTCAATTCTTATTTATATGGCACGATTAAACAAATTTACTTTCAGTATAGATACAAGTATAGTCAATAAGAGTATTGAAATAGATCTTTCATCGAATGATGATATTCAACGTAGTTTCATTGGAAGAGGATATCGGACAGTTGCTTCACATGTTGAAACATTCTCAAGAGAAAACAAAAGCGGAGATCACACCTATTCACTTCCATATAAGTTCAACAGTAGATGCCACATCTATTCACTTCCATATCAATTCAAAACTTTTTATTATTTAAGCAATTCTTTTCAAGGTAGCATCTTTGATAATGTTCAATGCTTGATAATGACGGACTTACGACCTTTCGAACATTACTTATTCAAAATCATCTCTCAAAGTTTTCCTCTCTTGAAACACTTGTATATATTTAATGATGAACCTCAGAAAGAGAAGCAACAATCGATGGCATTTATCACATTTTCTCATCTTATTTTACTCAATCTTGATTGTGCTCATGTGGACTATGCTCATCAATTTCTCATCGATAAACATTGTCATTTACCTTGTTTGATGAATCTTTATATCGGCTATAAATCGCTTGCACTGGTCACAAACAATTTCACCAATGATGCAACACGTGTCACTTGTGCTAAATTAACCAGTCTTAGTATAAAGGAGCCATTTGTTCCTCCAAAAAATTTTCATCAATATTTTCCTTTATTGTAAATATTATTTTTGTTCAAACTTGTCTTAATAAAAGTAAATAGTACGAGAAGATTAAGTTTATTCCGATCATGCTGCTCAGTTAAGATAAAATCAATATGAGAAGAGAAAAAAAATTTTTCCTATGTTTCAGCAAAGAAAAGTTTGATTGTTATTTATCTATCATTTTTGAAAAGTAAGTCTATTCATAAATATTATTTTAGATCAAGCTAATCGGAATCATATCTCATCTATTCGTAATCAAGATATACTTCAACTTATACAATATATAAACATTTGAAAGAAATCATTTTCGTTAGTATTTATTATTTTAACACATTTTAGATAAACTATCGAGTTTGAAAATAATCATAGCATTTTAATTATCGGTAATTAATTCTGTTGTATCCGTAGTTGTTAATAATAATATTCATTAAGATATTTTTTCATTTCATTTAAAAAATGAACATTTTTTCTATAAGATGAATATTTAAACAAATTATATATTCACAATTAAGATTGTCCATGACATCATTAAATGAAGATTTTGATGTTTAAATATTTTCTTTTTTTTGTTTTTTTTGTTTTATCAAATTATTAACAAAATCTGACTTTATTCTTATTTGTTGTATGAATATATTAATCTATTCATTCAATTTTTGTTTATCGAATAGAGAAGGATTAATTTGTTTAAATAGATTAGATAATACAATATCTTCTTAAACTGTTAGCTGTCTTTTTATCATTATCATTTAAATCAAATTGAGTGTTACCAGAAAATGAAATTTTTGATAATTTTTCTAATACTGCTTTAATTGAGCCATGAACTTCTGTATGATTATCATTAGAAACATTCTAAGTCGAAATGAACGATAAAGTACTATTGATTTTAAACTCGAATTATTTCTAGTTGATACTTCTAAAAACAAAACAATATTATGATCGATTATTTCTTCATCGAATGACATAACAATGAATTCTTTACATTTATGTTCGAATAAGTTGATAAAATTGAAAAAATTCAACTCTTTTTTAAAATTTTATTTCATTGTTAGAATTCGTCAATGGCGAAAGTAGGGTGGACATTCGCCAATTGGCAAATGTCCACAGTACTTTCGCTGGTGTGTGAACATTATATGTGAGCAATAAGGGACAGCAGCGTAAGGAACATATACAAGGTAGCCCGTAAGTAAAGAAAGGGAGATAAAATTGAATGTCTACATTATGGCTCGAGCAACCGGGCTGATTTTTTTTACCACTAATAAAGGCATGTCCAAGGTTTGTATCTATAAAGACAAGTTTATAGAGACCCTTTGTTAAATATCATCAATGATTTTATATACATAAAGATATGCCTAGAGAGACCTTTTGTTAAGTAAATTGTTTTTTCTTCGTATCTGTAAAAAAGTAAAATTTTTTTGTTGAGATCACCGGTGATACTTAACAAAGGATCTCTCTAAACTTGTCTTTAGGAATACAAAGCTTGGACATGCCTTTATTAGTGATAAAAAAATCAGCCTACTTGCTTGAGTCGTAATGGAGATATTCAATTTTTTCTCTGTTTCCTTACTTATGGGCCGTCCTGTATATGTATGTCAAGAAAAAAAGACAATAGAAATTTCATAAACATCAAACAAAAATCTAACCTATTGGAAAGTTTTTCTTTTTCAAATACATTTGATTTTAATGAACAGAAAATAGTATAAAAACAAAAAATGAAATTCAATACAAATAGCACTCAAAAACCTAACAATGCTGATAGTCCTGCTCGAGAAAATAACAAGCTGTGCATGCAGCATAATCTTCAATTATTTTCAGATTATATTCATGTTCTATTGATTAATTCAGTTCACTTGCTATTATAAAATGCTCTTTGAAAAAAAACAAACTAAGCTTCAAAGTTTCGTCGAAAATTGTATGAAAAAAAAGAAACATATTCATAGCAAGTTTCTGGACGTTGAAAAATAGTTGACCTCCTTCTCTTCTCTGTCCAAATTTTGACGCACCCCCTCTGTATCGAAATGCTCTTTATAGATGGTCCGGCCCTTATATTATTCATCTGTTTTGCTCTATGTTTGCCGTTAGTACATTCAAAAAGTATGGATAATAACAATTGGAACTTTTAACAATTAGAATTAATTAAATAATACGGAGCTATTTGACGCGACCACTCTATTGTTTATTACTCTTATGGATACTACGTTAATTAATTGTGTATCGTATACAACTATTTTGTTGCTCAATGAAAAATCGTTGATCATAGGTGGAGTAAAATATAACAATTTAATCATTGCATTCTTGTAGAAAAATGACAATTGTTTTACTCAGATGACAGATAAAAATAAATATTTGTCACAGGATCATGACAATTGAATAAAAATTTATTCTTTCATGTCATTATATTATGAAGTCAAACAAAAATTTAATTAGTTTATCATGGATTTTAAAATATTTATCTGTTATAGTAGGAAACAAAATCTTACAATTGTTCATTGGATTCTCTAATGAAAGGAAGAAAATTCACAAAAAAAAGTACATAAAATCATGTGTTCTGCTGCAAAGTTAAAAAAAAAAGTCTTATCTAAATATAAATATGAGATCATGGAAGAAAATCATAGATATTAAGACGTTGTTATTGGTGTTAATTGTTTCGGATTTTCTCTTTTGATGTAGAAAAGTAGATAGGCATCTTTAGAAACAATATCATCATTGTAACAGAACGATGATACAAATGAATCATCAAATCTATACCATTTACTTTCGCCATTTGTTTCATGCCGAGCACATGTTATGTAATGACCACCATAGATTGATCCAGTATGTTTACATACAGCAAATAAATCATAGATGATTTGTTCTGATGAAGATGATGATGAAATAAAATGACTTAAATTGAGTGCATTTATTGGATAATCGACAAATGTTTCTAGTTTTTCTCGTAAACCATCTTGATGTAAAAATCGTTTAAATTGAATAATGAGTATAGTTGGAAGACTACAAAATTGAAGTTGTTTAGTTGCATTCGTAGTTTTTTTACATGTTTCTTGTTGACATAACCATGAATCTTCAAGAGATTCAAGTGAACAAAATTCTCGAAGACAACTTTCAAGAGTTAATTTTTTTGAATGTCTATTAAATCGATTAAATTGTGAACTACTTGTAAAATCATCTTTTTCTACAAGCATTATTTCTCTAGTAGATAATTGATTTAATGGCATTTCTAAATCAAGTTGTTCATCATTTGTCATAGCCATAATAGTACCGAACAAAGTATGAGAACAAGATTCAGCAAAGGCTTCTATAAGATTTTTAACTTGACCAGTTTCGGATACATTGACGTGTGCCAATTCAGTATCACCACATCTTGAAATAAATTTTATTGTAAATCTACGTCCCTGTTGAGTCAATGGCAATGGTAAGAAACTGATTGGATTTATTGTTTTTTCTTCATGTTTACATTGAAGACAAGTAATAGTTGATTGGATTTTTCCAAAAAATAAATCTTCAATAATTGTATTTGATTCATTACCATTTTTTTCTTTTAATTCTCTATGTATTTCATCGAGAAGAAAAGTCATAAATTCTTGAGCATCTTGTTGATCCGAAGTAGCAAAACGAGGAGCTTGAACACCAATTATTTCTCTTAAGTGAGTCGGTCGAAATGTTGAACTATAATTCATAGTTTTATTGGATAAACATAAATTTTTCAATAGATCAGCATATGCTCCAGTCACTGTACCAATTGTATAAAATTGATTCCATTCAACATCTACGTATTTATCATCATCTGAAACATCTTGAGTAAGACCATCTAAAAAGAATTGAGTTAATGGTTTTGCATGAACAAGACATTGAAGTGCACTGTTCATATAGCATGTATTTACAAAATTATATAAACCAATGGGTGTTAAAGGAAATCGCTGCATTTCTAACGGTCTACTTGATGTGTATGGCGTAGTAATATAACTGCTTGTATTTGAATAATAGGTTGGTGTCTTATCTATTGCAATAACATCAATTATATCGTTGGACTTGATTCCAATATCAGTTAAACGTTGATTGAATTTTTTATTATCAATGATAGTCGATCCAGATGACATGAGAACAATATCTAATGATTGACTTTTCTTAAAAGATTCTATCATTTTTATCAAATCATCTACAGTGTCGTTTATTGAAACTTCAGTAGTAAAAGTAGAATCGAATTTCGAAAATTTAACATTGACTGTGATGTCATATGGTTTATTTTTTGCAATTAATGACGAAGATCTTGGTGTCATATTAATTCGAGGATTTACAATAGATGATTGATTATTAGAAGAAGTCAAATGAAAAGCAGCATAAATAGTTTGACCAGGCTTTATACCTAGATCGGAAAGCATTTGTTTTGATTCATTCAAGTCTATTCTATCGTGCATACGATTAAATAACTTTAAATCAAGAAGAAAATAATCTTTGAATCGTTGTTCAATTTGATTTTTCAACTGATCAATCGTAGTTGTATTTGGCACATCGAACAGTTGTGTTCCATTAATGTAAGCACATTCGACATGAACTATTGATGATGAATACGATGGAACGATTTCGACAAAGATATATGTTTGATCTATGATACTCAATTTACTTAATAATTTATCAGAATTTGATGTCAGATCGAGTTCTTCAAGACCTTTATAAAGATGAATACGTTGCTGTTCGATCGATTCTAACAAAAATTCTTTTATAACATATTCAAATAACATTTTTAATGTTGTTGTAGCACTGTTCCATTCATATTCTGCTTTGATAATAGGACTAGGTCCCCATATAGTTAAATGATAGAGTCTTGCTGACGTAACAATAGTTGATGGTTCAAAATAGAGACTATGTCCCTCTTTAATGTTAAGTTGGTGTAATGTCATGTTTGCATTTAATGGAGGCGCAGAAGAACGTTGATTATCAATACTTAATGCAACCAATGAAATATCATCGGGATAAATATGGTAAAGATCACCAATATCTAAAAATCTTTTTATAACGACGTGGATAGGATCCGTCAATGAAAATATAGCACATCTCTCAACATTCAAATTTTGTCCATCGTCCTTATAGTGAAGTTGAAGTTGTATGTATTGATTTGATTCAGCATTTGGTGAATCGTAGATGCTTCTTTGTCTATTCAAAAATGAGAATTGTTCTCCGGAAATGTTGGTATTCGCACGTGAGTTTGAATATGAAATTGGTGGAATGATTTCGACGTCGATAAACGATCGATCGTTGATTTCCAAGTCAATTAATAATTTATCAGAGTTTGATGAGAGATCAAGTTCTTCAGAGCGGTGAAAAAGATGAATACGTTGACGTTCGATCGATTCTAACAAAAATATTCTTATAGCATATTCAAGTAACATTTTTAATGTTGTTGTACCACTGTTCCATTCATATTCTGCTTTGATAATAGGACTAGGTCCCCATATCGTTAAATGATAGAGTCTTGCTGACGTAACAATAGTTGATGGTTCAAAATAGAGAACATGTCCTTGTTTAATATTAAGCTGTTCCAATGTTCTGTATGTGTTTAATGAGGGTGAAGGAGAACGTTGGTTACCAATACCTAATCCAACTAGTGAAATATCACTAGGAGAAACGTGATTAAGGTCAGTAGTTTTCAAAAATTCTTTTATTACATCGTGAATAGTATCTGTAGGTGAAAATAGAATACGACTTTCTACTTTCAAATTTTTTCGATAATCATTATAATAAAGTTGAAGTTCTATACGAGAACTTGTTGGAATATTTGATAAATCACTAGTGAATCTATGATCATCTGAATACGATACGTGTTCAGAGGACATTATGATATTTGCAATTGAACAATAGTCAAGTGATAATGATGATGGTAGACATGTCGGTTCTTTTTAAAGAAAATTAAAGAAAATTAATCATCTACAATATAAAGCCATAAATATTAACAAGGAAGAACAAGTTACTTTCTATTCTGCAAATACGATAACACATATCTTTTAAAAATATAGTCAACTGTTTGCGAATAAAAAAAACCTAAGTTCTGAGTCATTCTATGAAGTTTATTGGAAAAAAACACAGAGAAAAGTTATGTTATATCTTATCTCACTTGATACATATCAAATAACCAATTGATATACTCATCATTCAAATAATAAAGTTATATCAAATACTTTTTCTTATAATTTACACGTTCACAGTTTACTAAAGAATTCGAAAAAAAACACGCATGCATTGTTTCTTTTTTTGTTTCCATTCATTACAATACCTTTCATCGTCTCAATTTACCTTCTGACTTTCCATGTGCACCTGGAGAAAAAAAATATGATCATCGACAACAACACCATAAGAATAAAAAAAAATGTCGACATCGACATGCAATGAAAGGAGAGGAAAAAAAATCTAGCTTTCCTTTTTTCTTCTATACTATTTTCTTCCTATATAGACATTCGAAACTCGTATACGTCATTTATACTAGTTGTCATACTTTATAGTTAGAAGAAAATATAACAATAAATATTACCAAAACAAATTTTCAAGTTTGTACATAGAATATTAATCTTTATTATTTGAATAGATTAACAATTAACGTAAGATTTAATATAAATTATATGATCATTAAGTCATCAATAAATTTAAAAAATTTCAATTTTATTTACAAAAACAAAGAATTTCATATTGAAGGATGCATACTATTCATTTCTAGAAGTACTAAATTATTTTACATAGTTTATTTTTAAGTAAGAGAACGTGATAATATTTAATATTGCTTCGAGGATCAATGAAACTTTGAAAATTTTTGCAAGATAATAAGAATATTGAGAGATTTTTGATTGGTTTGAATTTAAATATTATTATGATATGATGAACAATTCATTTACAAATAAGTTTTTAATATTATTGTTCATTGAACTTGTTTCCTTTTTTTTTTTGAAAAAAATATTCATATGAAAGTACATTTGAATCTAAAAAAGCATCTGAATTGACATAAAAGAAAGCAGTTTTAAAAATAAAAAGAATTCATATTTTACCGATGTATGCATAGTTTTTCGTACAAAAATTAGTGAAAATATCAAGAAGAAAACAGTAGACTTCAAGACTGATATCTCTGTTGTTTTCAGCTCCGAAAATACGAAATCTTTCTCAAAGAACATTCAAAATTTGTAAACAGATCGTTAGATTTTAGTTGAAGTATGCTTTATTTTGAATAGATCTAGTTTCTTTTTTTTTGTTTTTGAACTAATCATCAAGAATGACTAATGCTCTTTTTCAATGAGTCATTCTTACTAACTAAAGACCTTGACTAAGAATTGAATTTGTACTTTAACAACCGATGTTGCGATGCCTTCAAGTCTATCTCGGTTTCGAAATTTAAATTCTTCCATCCAAACATTTATTAGAAAGATTTTCTAGACAAATTCATTATTACTTTTATTCGTGAGAAGACTACAGTGATCAAATGACAGTGCTGGTAGGTTCATCATTGATCAATATTTATAACCATTACGATCATCATTCTCGAATTTTCATCCAAGAAAAAAAAAAACTCGCATGTGAATAGCATAACGTCATTAAACGACATCTATAATTGTCATTTTGTGAATATTTATTATTAGTCAACTAGTTCTCCAGACAGAAGTGTTTATTTGAAAAAAAAAAAAAATTCAAGAACATTGCTGACGTTTAATGAATTATTTACTTTTTCTTTCTCTTTTTTTTTTTTTTACAGAACCAAAATCGATTAGATCAATAAAGTGACAGATTTCTTTTTGTCTGCCGATATGTACTTAAAAACATTGTTTTATCAAGTCTAAATAATATTCACACATTATAAATGAAGGAGAATGTTTTTCAATGATAACTAACAATGTATATAGCATATACATTAAATGTTTCAAATCAATGCACTGTATCGTCCTTATAAAACATCAGCAGAAAAAAAAAGAGTCGTTAGGTTGTCGATCGTCAAGAAGAAAAAAAAAAGATTCAACTTGTATAAGTTTGTTAGTTACGTGAAAGGAAAGAAAAAGAACGACCATGATTACTAACATACATGTTTTATATGCTTACAGTCACAATAGACATTTTTTTTTTCTTTTAAAATACTTTCATCATCATTAATATAGCAAAAAAAAAAAATTATTATTTTAGATTAAAAAAAAACGTTTGTTTTTCAGTATGAATTTATTGATCATTATTTTGAGCTTGATTTTATTTTATGGAAATTATATTTATGGATTAGAAACTGAAGAATTAGATGGTATTGATGTATTAACAAAATTAAAAAATATACAACCAGATTGTGATCTTCATGATTTTCTTCGAGTTGATGATGAATATAAAACATTAACAGATGATTTAAGAAAACATTGTTCATCATCAAATTCAGTAAAACAACATCGAATATTATGTCATATGCTTTCATATGAACTTGAAAAAGCATGTAGACTTACACCTAATTTACGTCCTTCAAAAGTTATCTATGCAACTTCAAGAACACCTTCACAAATATGTAATTTAAACAATATACTATTAACAGATGAATGGATATGGCACAAAATAACAGATGGTGGACAGAAAAAAATTGGTGTTAATGCAAAAAAATTATGTACTAAAGTTACAAGTGATACTGATACACTTCGATTAGCAAGATTTTTTTATAAAACTGCACCACGTGTTAGACAAGTTGATTCTTCTAAACAAAGTAAAGGTTAGTTAAAAAAATTTCATTATGAAAGAAAAGTAGGAGACCACCCAATGGGCCCGCTAGTACTTTTTTTGACCAACTCTATTCAATCATATATCAACGGAAAAAGCATCTGAAGACTAATATTTTGATACAAGCTTCATGAGGTTTTAACTGTTTCAGGCCTACCGTACTAAATATAGTACGGTTTTTTCAACTT